CCTCCTCCTCCTCCGTTTCCACAAATTAACAAATGACGTTAAGGGCTCGCGGGTTAATCGACGTTGACGGAGACCAGTGGTCTTGATATTCAAGCACTTACAGGACAACCTGGACACCAGTGTACAGAAAGTCTGTGAACACAAGCGACTCCTCATATTTTGTGGTAATCAATCATTAGCCCACAGAAGAAATTGCGTGTGAACTCTGCACTGAAGAAAGCCCGTACACTACAGCACCGACGAGGCAAAATTGAGTGGGACACGCTATCAGCGTGATCATTTGCGAGGGAGCTTTTACTAACCTGATTCCACAGACACGCTGAAGCCAAGCAGTGTCAAAACAGAAGCCCCGATGTGGCATGCATTGCCTGGCTCGAGGCCTAAAGTTTGATGCAGCGCAACTGGCAGAGATCACAGTGAGCAGTCTAAACAAACACACCAACGGTCGATTAAACCAAGTGTATCCTCTTCCGGTCCATTCCGTTCACTGAATGCACCTGCATTTATCTGGGCAAGCGGGGTGAAAACTGGAGATAAGACTGTGTGAACACACGAAGACTTCTCGAAGGAGAGTCTATCCATCTCTCAAGGCCAGTCTTATGTTGGAACAAAACAGCACATTTGATTTTTTGAGGTGAAGATAAGCGGAGTGGTTAGACAGCGCGACAAATAACCAAAACATGAAAACCCAGTCATCCGTTCACAGTCACAGACGTCAAGCATCCCACCCCTACAAGGCTCAGTACGGCCGGCTGGGGCATGCAGATTGACATCAAGGGCGGACCCTATGATTGGAACCTGTCTTCAAGGTAAACGCATTTCGTCCTCGGGGACGCGGAACATATGTGACTGGCCTGACGGCAATTAAACAAGATGCTTGCTTCATCTTGTGCCTCACACTAATGATAAGTTCGGGAACTTAAACAAGTAAACTCCCTTTTGTCTGTTGCTGTTTGTCCACTCGTAAACTTGCGTTCACTCAGAATGAGATTATAGCCATTTAAGAGGCAAGAAGTTAAAGGGGACATTTTAAGCCGTCACAGGACGACCAATAAGCTTGCAGTAAAGGGGGCGGAGGCAATCTCAGGAGTCCACTACAAACTGAAGCCCCCCAACTGGAGCCTATGCCTATCTATCAATATTTCCAGTCGACAAACATTCGCTCCTCCGTCGGCAAACCTGCAGCAGCAGCAGCAGCAGCAGCAGCAGCAGCAGCAGCAGCAGCAGCAGCAGCAGCAGCAGCAGCAGCAGCAGCAGCAGCAGCAGCAGCAGCAGCAGCAGCAGCAGCAGCAGCAGCAGCAGCAGCAGCGGCAGCGGCAGCAGCAGCAGCGGCAGCAGCAGCAGTAGCGGTGGAATGAATAATTTGCGAATACGAGTCCGCATGCCATGCACTCCAGACAACAGGCCCCTGGTGTCGCATTGCGCACTTTGGTCAGCGCTGACGACAAGACATGCTGCCAAAGTCCTCGCGACAATTTGCACGAAAGGCCTGGTGAAATCAGCTTGCCAGCGCACATAATTAATCGGCTGTCAAAATCATGCCTTGTGCGTCACCAGGCGGTCTGTTTCTACGTCACTTCTATGTGGTGCGGTCAATAAACCACAAGTTATGAAGGAAATATGTCATTGCAAAAGTAATGCCGCCTGTCCAGCCATTAACTCAATATTTCGAACTGAGGTTCTCCCCTCACGATATTTGGCATTTTCACAGGTTACCTGGGTCCACTTGCAATCTGGTTGGATTAGTCTCTTCCTCGATTTGGCCAAAGGCCACTTTGTGGGAGTCACATACTTGTGAAAATGTTTGATTATTTCAAAATCCAAGGTACTATTGGATTTCTTATCCTTTCGCTATATCTGTCACCACGAAAGTATTCACGTGGATCCTACTTGCAAACGAGCACCAATTTTCCCTGTAACGCAAGGATAGAACATTTATGCTTTTGAACAAACAGTGTCACCCCTGAATGACGCTGCTAGGCATGAACTTTCTGCTTTTTTCGGTCAAAATAAGATGGTCATTCTTGTCTACCAACAGCTCCTTCCAACATTCATAACCCTGAAGTGGACATAAAGGATCAGAGAATATTGTTTCGAAAACAAGCAGCATCGATCGATCACAAAAGGCATCAATACCATTTTGATCATTCCAAAACAACAATGTGATAAATAATCATCTTGAAACTACTTTAATCGAGCTTTTTAACGACTCACTCAGGCAGAAACTCCCAGGTCACCAAAATATCAAGGCTTGTAAAGAATTTCGTCCCTAAAAGTTTAAGCGGTGTTTGCCACAAAGTGGGTCTGAAGATTGACGGGAGGAGGTGTTGAGTGATGCTTACATCTCCTTCGAAGCGCGCTATGGGATGAGAAGTCGTAATCCGAAAGCAACGCCAGCAGTTGTCCACTTTGAGTGGAAGTACCTCCTCCCAAAGTAGCTCCCTGATCTTTTCGGCGTGAAAATCGCAATTAACGATAAGTCTGTTAAGACGCATGACAGTTTGACCCCTCAAAAGAAGATGTCTACCTTGTGTCCCAAAACAGGGTGGGGCTAGGGGCGGTGCTTCGTGTGCGAATTGGGGCAGGTCTGCGGACTATCTACTGCATCCTCTCCTCACATAGGCAAGAGCACTAGAGGCGGGATTAGGCATAGTAGGGGACAAAGCTAAGCACCCGCCTGCTTCGCTCATGATGGACCGGAGTTTTTCAGAAACATCGGAGCTCGGCTCCCATTTGAGTGGGAGTGCCATAGAGGCCACATTAAGGGGGAGCCATTGCGGCCTGACTCCCCATCCTAAAGAGGGGACCGACGGCCGACTGTGAGGACGTCTGAATGCATGAGACGACAGACAGAGGGTCGGCGACCAGTCTTGTCGTTTAAGAGCAACATTAGGTGGACTTTTGATCGGTCACTGACAATAGAAAGTCTGTGTGCACAAACTCGTGAAACATTGGCTGACATTAGGGCATATTGTGGCAGGCAGTAAACATCGCTAGCTCCTGTGGAGCTAGGCGTCTGGAGGAGATGGCACGTGAACACACCTGGAAATCAATCGATTTCAAGCCTATTTTTCGCACATCCAATCGAGACGACCCACCAAGTCAACGCTAAAAAAGCCGTCCAAGTTATCTACCAGGAAGCAGCACATTACTCTAAAGGCCTACACAAACGGGTGCTAGCGGCAGTCGAGGTAGTGGCTATTCGGTCTGCGAATCCAGTGCTCTGTTGTCAGAAGACGGGCAGTCTGTCTTCCCTGGCTGACTCCCGGTTATGATCACACGTCGCCCCAACTCCCTGAGAACAGTCCCACGACAGTTCGATCGTCGTTGACTACGAAGCCCACCGTGCGCTTCACAGCAAGTTAAAGCACACACGGTGACTTGCGCGTGATTTAGTTTATAGTGAATGTAGACTTTTACTGCATCTGCCGCACCCTCCTCTCCTCCACACCTGGACCCGGTGTCAGTATATAATCCAGAAGACCGAAAGCGGAGAGGGCGCAGGTGGATGTCACGGTCGAGCCGGCACCTTGGCGCTTCACACCTCACCCCACTGGTCCATACAGCAAATGACCAGGATTTTGACCAATAACAAAAGGGTGACTGGCACGGTCGGGGCCGCACCTAGGCGTGACGTCACACCAGGCTTGGATCTCACGGAGTGAGAGTGCCATAGAGGCTATAATAAGGAGCCATTGCAGCCTGACTCTTAGGCCACCAGTCGACTGCTCCACAGTCGACCGGTCCACACAACACTGGACCGAGTGGAATGTCCAAGTTATCCCCGTCAGTTGGCAGCCTTTCAAGCCACGGCTTTTAGCGCATCGTGATAGCTTCAAGTGCGTCAGCTTGTTGGTAGTGAGGAAAATGCTCTAAGCCGTCGACCTCACTCTTCCTTCCCATTCTCAGGCCCCGGTCACTGTCCGAGTCGGTCAGTTCACAGGTTCGGGGAATGGTCGCGGTTGCTGGCATATCTAGTGACCTTGTCTGCGCGCGCCAAATGCACGACCTGTTCCCCACCCAAACACAAGCACCAGGATTTCACCCAACGGGGGTTGAGCGGTGTACATCTCACATGCGTGAGAGTGCTGTAGGTCACGTTAAGAAGGAGCCACTTCACCCTGGCTGTCAGACCACCAGTCTGCCACTCCACACACACACACACACACACGACTGGACAGACTGCGTGGAGAGATTTGGAGTGTCAGTCAGCAGCCATCAAAGCCACAGCACTTGACGCGCCGTGATAGCCTCGGACTCGAATCACACATGCAGTAGCGACCGTATAGAAACGGAGTCGAGACACACATTTCCCACTTGCGTGGGCGGTGGCGATTGGGTGCTTGTGGTGGATGACGGTGTTGAGTGCTGTAGGTGGAGGGAGATGTGGTGGTATGGTTTGACCGGCGGTTATCTATAAATATCGCCTCCTCGACTTTGTTGCTCCCGCAAAATCCTCCTTCTTCAGATTCGACCGATTGTGTTCTTGACTTACAGTGATAGTTTAAGGGCGCGTCAAATTGTTTATGGCGAGGAAAATGCACTGAGTGCCGTGGGGAGAGAGTTCCCTCTCCAAGGCACCAGTCAGCTGCCGGAGCCTGTCTGTCTTTTAGTAAGTGGCTAGCTAGGCGCGAGCCTGCACCTAGACGTGCCATCACACCCCCGCTTGTGGCATCTGTTATGCGTGTGCAATCCGAATAACGCGGACAGTGCTCCCGGGCTGGTCCGCGCATCTCCCGTGTCGTAGGGGACAAATACTTCGCGGCACAGACCCGGTGACGACGACTCAGGCCATAGACAGACCCTGGCCACTACGATCTTCAAGAACTGAAGGAGGGAAGTTGGACGCCAGCAGAAAGAGAGAACATTATATTCTGCACGGAGGGAGTGAAGCAAGTTGACACCTGGATAAGAGCTCACACTCGGCGCCGCCTGGGCAGGCGTCTGAGTGTCACAGAGGCAAGGACGTCTGCATCGGTCTCGAAACTGTTTAGCCTGTTTAGATGGCTGTGAGCGATCGATAACCAGACGCCACTGATACGCGAGAGAGGCGCAGTGTGGTAAGCGTAGTAGGGTTACTACGTCAACTTGCTCGGCATTTGCTGGGCGTCATCGGTTGCCAAGCAGCATTCATAATTATCCCGCTCGTCATTCAGCACTATAAGGTTTTGTAGAAGCAGCATTTCATCTACCTGATTGCGAGGCACAAGAACACATAATTTATTTTAACCAAGGACTCCAATTTCCAGCGATAAGTGACAAAAAATTCGAGAAAACAAAAACTGAAATGAATGAATGGAGGTGAATATGCGAGTTGCGGGGAAAATGCATGTGCGATAACTGAAACAGCATGTGTATTAGTCTGAGCTTTGAACCTCGCATCGGAGACTGTGAGGATGCAACATCGAATGGACAGTTCTTGTATCCTGACAAAGAAAGGGGTAGTGTTTGCAATATTTATGGCTTATGACACTTCTAACTCCAGACTTGTGAGTACGATGTGGGGTGAGAGCGATGAAGTCCACTACTATTCTGTGGCAAGCGGACTTGCCCTACGGCTCCCCCGGTCGTACCTTTTACATCCATGGTATTCTGAGGGCAAAATAAAGACAAGGCGGCTGGAGATGGGCATGGTCACAGCGGTGGACAAGTCTAAACAGTCCGTCTATGTGGGCCAAATGCGACTTGGCTCTTGGTTTCCCACAAACTTGTCTTAGAAGAGACTGTTTCCTATTTCCCGTCTGGGAATGTGCCACGATGGCCATATTGAGAAGGAGTCATCAAAGTTCGATTCTCAGGGATGCTAATAAGTAGGTCGCGAGGGTTTGAAAGGACATTTTGCCGTGCTCCCCTGTTGGTCCAACGCATCTCCCGTGTCGTAGGGGACAAATACTTCGCGGCACAGACCCTGTGACGACGACTCAGGTCATAGGCAGACCACTACGATCTTCAAGGACCGAAGGAGGGAAGTTGGACGCCAGCAGAGAGAGATAGAACAGTATATTCTGTACGGAGGGAGTGAAGCAAGTTGGCACCTGGATAAGGGCACACACACGGCGCCGCCTGGGCAGGCGCCCGAGTGTTACTGAAACAAGCGTCAGAGCACCTTGAGCAAGGACGTCTGCATCGGTCTTGAAACTGTTTAGGCCGTTTAGATGACTGTGACTGACCGACGACCAGACGCCACTGATACGCGCGAGAGGCGCAGTGTGGTAACCGTAGTAGGGTTACTACGTCAGCTTGCTCGGCAGTTGCTGGGCGTCATCGGTTGCCAAGCAGCATTCATAATTATCCCATTCGTCATTCAGCATTATAAGGTTTCGTAGAAGTAGCATTTAATCTATCCC